GGTGGTGTCTGTGAGGGGATTTGGGGGTTCCGTGAAGCGCGGGGAGGCCCGTGAGGGGATTTGGGGGGAGTCCATGAGGGGTTAAGGGGGGGTCTCTGAGGGGTCCCGGAAAGGGGGAGGCGTGAGGGGAGTCAGGGGGGGTCCCACAACGGAAAGGGGGCGTCTGTGAGGGGATTTGGGGGTCCCGGAAAGGGGGAGAGGGTCTTGTGGGGAAATTTGGGGGTCGCGGAAACAGTGGGGGTGTTTTGTGAGGCAATGAGGAGGGTCCCGTAAAGGGGGGGGGGGTCCCGTGCGGGAATTTGGGGTGGTCCCGGAAATTGGGGAGGGGTCCTGTGAGGGGATTTAGGGGGGTTTTATGAGGGTGTTCGGGGGGGTCCCGAAAAGGAAAGGGTCCCGTGAGGGGGTTCAGGGGGTCCTTGAGGGGATTTGGGGGATCTGTGAGGAAAAGGAGGTCCCAGAAATGGGGAGGGTCCCTTGAGGGGATTTAGGGGTCCATGAGGGGAGACCCCAATTCCTGAGACACGGAACATACAGAGACCCCCTCCCCAAAATCTAAAGGGAAAAGGGGGAGGGGGCCTTGGGTGAGAGGGAGAACCCCAGGAGGGTTTTTTTTAGCGGGGGGGGCATCCCGCCCCCAAAATATTTTGGGGAGGAAGGAAGAGAGATCCTGACACCTTCAAGAAGAGGGATTTTTTTTTTTGGGGGGGAGGGGGAGGTGTTTCTCCTCATGGCCCCCCCATTTTTGCCCCCCACCCCTCAGACTACGTTTACTTCGAGAACTCCTCCAGCAACCCCTACCTGGTGCGGCGCATCGAGGAGCTCAACAAGGTGAGACCCCCGTTCCTGGGGGGGGTCCCCGATCCTGGGGGGGGTGGTCCCCAAGCTTTGGGGAGCCCCCCCTGACCCTCCTGTGCCCCCCAAACCCCCAGACGGCCAATGGCAATGTGGAGGCCAAGGTGGTTTGTTTGTTCCGGCGGCGCGACATCTCCAGCAGCCTCAACAGCCTGGCCGACAGCAACGCCCGTGAGTGGGGGGTTTTGGGGGGGTTTTGGGGATTTTTGGGATTTTTTGGGGTTTTTTGGGGTTTGGGAGAAGGGTGGGGGGCAGGTTTTTTTTTGGTGCTGCTCCTGCTTTGGGGGCTCAGGAATTTTGGGGGGGGGGGTGGTCCGTGACCCACTCATCCCAATGGGGCGCCCCCCAGATTTTGGGGAGAGGTGGTTTGATGTTACTGGGGTAATTTGGGGGTGGTGAGGGGTCCGTGACCCCTCTCAAAGGGGCACCCCAATTTGGGGGGGTGGGGTATGAGCCGCTCTGTCCCTCTCCACCACCTTCGGGCTGATTTTCGGGGAGATTTTGTCAATTTTGGGGGGTCACAGCTGCACCCCTTTGGGAAGGGATGAAGAACTGAACCCCAACCCATCCCCCCATCAAACTGGGGGGTGGGATCCCCACAGCCCCTCCCCCTCCCTCCCCTCCCCCTTCCCTGGAACCACTGCCAAAACCCCGGAGGGGGATTTTGGGAGAACAAGGGCTCTCCCAGCTGGATTTTGGGGACACCCCGGTGTGACCCCCCCACCCGTGGCCCCCCAGGCGAGTTCGAGGAGGAGTCGAAGCAGCCGCCCATGACGGAGCAGCAGCGGCACCAGCTCAAGCACCGGGAGCTGTTCCTGTCCCGCCAGTTCGAGTCGCTCCCGGCCACCCACATCCGGTACCGGGGGCAGCAAAGGGCTCGGGACAGGCTGGGAAAAAGCTCTGGGGGGGCTTGGGGAGAGGTTTTGGGGTGACCCCCTCCTTGGGGAGAGGTTTTGGGGTGACCCCCTCCTTGGGGAGAGGTTTTGGGGTGACCCCCTCCCCGATTTTTGCCGGCAGGGGGAAGTGCAGCGTGACGCTGCTGAACGAGACCGACATCCTGGGGCAGTACCTGGAGAAGGAGGTGAGCTCTGTGTGCCCCAAAATGGGTCTGGGGGAGGATTTTGGGGGTGTCCCCCCCCCGCTGAGCCCCCCCCCCTCTCGATGTGCCCCCTCCCCACAGGATTGCTTCTTCTACTCGCTGGTGTTCGACCCCGTGCAGAAAACGCTGCTGGCGGACCAGGGCGAGATCAGGGTGGGCTGCAAGTACCAGGCCGAGATCCCCGAGCGCCTGGCCGAAGGTTTGGGGGGTTCTGGGGGGGCTCCGGGGGGTGCAGGATGTGGGGGTCACCCTTAGAGCACCCCCCGAACCCCTCCTCAGGCGAGTCGGACAACCGGAACCAGCAGAAGATGGAGATGAAGGTGTGGGACCCCGACAACCCCCTGACAGACCGGCAGATCGACCAGTTCCTGGTGGTGGCTCGGTGAGGGGGGAACTGGGGGAGCTGGGAGGGGGTCGGGGGGATTGGGGGGACCCCACTGAGCCCCCCGTGTCCCCCCCTCAGGGCTGTGGGGACGTTTGCACGGGCGCTGGACTGCAGCAGCTCCATCCGCCAGCCCAGCCTGCACATGAGCGCGGCAGCGGCCTCCCGAGACATCACCCTGGTGAGGGGGAGCCCCCCGGGCACCCCAAAACTCTCTTGGAGCTCTCAGTTCTCACTGGGACACCCCAAAAACTCCTTAGAACCCCCCATTTCTCACTGGGACACCCCAAAATCTTTCTTAGAATTTCTCATTTCTCATTAGGACACACAAAAATTTCCTTAGGACTTCCCCAGGAGTCTCTGTTCTCCCTTTAGATGTTCCCAACGCTTCCCTGGGATACCCCAAATCCCCTCTAGAGCCCCCAAAACCTCCCTCAAAACCCCCCAAAGCCCTGTTAGAGCCCTCCCAGTGCTTCCAGTACACCCCATTGCCCCCAGTTCCACGCCATGGACACGCTGGTGCCTCAGGGGGGGCTCTGAAACCCCCCCAAACCCCCCAAAACCTGCCCCAAACCCCCCCAAAACCTGCCCCAAACCCCCGTTAGAGCCCTCCCAGTGCCTCCCAGTGTCCCCAGTACGCCCCATTGCCCCCAGTTCCACGCCATGGACACGCTGCAGAGGAACGGCTACGACCTGGCGCGGGCCATGGCCACGCTGGTGCCGCAGGGGGGGCCGGTGCTGTGCCGGGACGAGATGGAGGAGTGGTCGGCGTCCGAGGCCATGCTCTTCGAGGAGGCCCTGGAGAAATACGGGAAGGACTTCAACGACATCCGGCAGGATTTTGTGAGTGGGGGGAGCCCCTCGTGGGGGGATCCTGGGGTGGGGGGGGGATCAGGGAACCCTCCCCGAGCCCCCCGAGCTGAGTTGGGTGCCCGCAGCTGCCCTGGAAGTCGCTGGCCAGCATCGTCCAGTTCTACTACATGTGGAAAACCACTGACCGCTACATCCAGCAGGTGTGGGGGGAGGGCTGGGGGGGTTTGGGGGGCTGGAATGGGGGTTTGGGGGGCTGGAATGGGGGTTTGGGGGGCTGGGATGG